ACGCAGCAGCCAAGCTGATACGTGGCGTTGGAATCCCTAAAACAGGTTTTGGCATGATTCTGGATCTTCAAATGAAAGTGTTGTCCAAGGGCAAGTGCGCTGATAAGCACGGGGTTGTTTTGGAAATGCTTTCGCAAGGTGGCCAAACCATGCGAAGCATACTGCTGCGGAAGTATAACGAAGTGTTGCGAGGAGGAGCATTTCCGGACGATTGGAGCGAGCTTGTCTTTGTCATGTTGCCCAAAAGTGGAGATTTAATGGACGCGCACAACTGGCGGCCGGTTGCTATACTTGACGTTGTATACAACATCTTCGCCAAGATGCTCCATAAACGGCTACTCCCTTATCTGGATCCACAAATTTCAGACGAGCAGATGGGTTTCCGGACTGCTTGCGGCGTAGACGAGGCCTTGATGGTCTTAGAGTGCATTGTCGGGGTATCCCTGGAGTGGAACTTCCCGCTCTGGGCGCTGAGCGTGGACTTGCGCAAGGCTTTCGACAAGCTCGAACACAACGCCTTATTGGACTCGCTGACAGAGCTCGGACTGCCAGACAAGTATTTGGCATTACTGAAGCGTATTTATGCAGACCAGGTGGGCACTGTCGACGGCGTCTCGTTCTCTATCCGCCGTGGAATTAGACAGGGAGACATATTGAGTCCGCTTCTGTTCAACGCAGCAACTGAAGTTATCATGCGCCGGTGGAAGGAAAATGCGTTTGCGTGCTAAACACGGTTTCCACGTTTCTGCTGACCCCTCGGATAGGCTGACAAACGTTCGCTTTGCGGATGACCTCATACTGTTTGCAAAGTCTCTTCGATAGATGGAGGACATGACCACTCTGCTTGTGGAAGAGTTTGCCTGCGCGGGGCTTGTTGCAAATGGCTCGAAGACGAAGCTCTTGACAACGGATAGTGCTGTTTCGTCGGGGCAAACGCCCTTGCTTGTAGATCTCGCGGGCATGTTTGTGGAGGTCATCAAGACAGGCTCTTCTCAGAAGTATCTTGGAAAGTCGTTGCCGGGAGATCTGGCCTCGAGGGGGCAGAGAAATCTAGATCATCGCCTAGCGTGCGCATGGATGCGATTCCACGAGATGGGCCACACTTTGCTGAACCACAAGATCCCAGTCAACTTGCGTCTGAGATTATTCAATTCTGTAGTGAGCCCAACCGTCCTGTACAGTCTTTCAACAACCCCGCTGACATCATCACAGCTGGAGAGACTCGACGGGGTACAACGAAAGATGATGAGACGTATTGTGGGCTGGGTGAGGCACGGCGAAGAGGACTGGCATGAGACAGGGCATCGCAGGAAAGAAAAACTGAAGAACGCCTGGGAGAATACTCGCGTGGCGGTCTGGAGCCAAGCGCGAGACAAGCAACGGCGAGGGTTGCTTGAGAAAGTGACCAAACGGCAGGCCGGGATAGTCTGTCGCGTGTATCTCTGGTCGGCACGGCCAACTGTACCGGGCCATCCTGTTTACAGGGAGCGAGGGCGTCCAGCATGCAGGTGGACGGACGGCGTCTGAGAGATGGCATTGTCGCCTGTGCATGTTTGTCAGTATTTGTATGTGCTTGTGTGTGGTCGTTGTGTCTCGGCGTGTTACATGTGAGCTTTGCATGATATGTTTCCTCCCGTGTCCTGTGCAGGACCGGCTTCGTAGCCGTGCGGGATCTGTCTGTCTGTCTGGATCTTCAAACGGTTCTTTTCCAACGAGGCAGCTCCCTCAATGGAAAAGAACCGTTGTGGGGGCCTATGAGGAAGGAGCTTGGCGGGAGGGTTAATTCCAACATCGTTGATGACTCTTGGTTTCACACTGGTCCTCCTCCTCCTCCTCCTCCCGCTCCTCCTCCGCCTCCTCCTCCTCCTCCTCCCTCCTCACTCTCCTCAACCCTCGCTCTTCCTCCCCTACCTCCTCCTCCTCCTCCTCTCCTGCTGCTGCTACCTCCTGCTCCTCCTGTTCCTCCTGCTCCTCCTGCTGATCCTGCGTCCCTCCCACCTCACCCCTCCCCTTCTCCTCCTCCCCTCCTCCTCCTCCCCCTCCTCTCTCCTCCCTCCCCCTCCTCGCCCCTCCCCCCTCCCCCTCCCCTCCCCCTCCTCCTCCTCCACCTCCTCCTCCTCCTCCTCTCCTCCTTCCTCCTCCTCCCCGCCTTCCTCCGCCCCTCCTCCTACCTCCTCCTCGCTCCATCCTACCTCCTCCTCCTCCTCCTCCTCCTCCTGCCTCCTCCGCCTCCTCCTCCTCCGCCTCCTCCTCCTCCCTCCTCCTCCCCTCCTCCTCCTCCTCCTCCTCCTCCTCCTCCTCCTCCTCCTCCTCCTCCGCCTCATCCTTTTCCTGGAACTCCTCCTGAAACTCCTCCTGGAACTCGGTGCTGATCGTGCCGCCACGGCAGCAAGGTCTGCCGCGTGCAGTGTGATACACGTTTGGCGACCACTCCTCCACTTCTGAAGCAGGCCGGTGCAGCTTTGCCCCCTGCCTTCGAAATCCGCCGACCCCTTGTGGGTCTCCAGGCGCGTGAGATAGTTCCCCCCCGTAACCCCACCAAGGGACCCCAAACCGGAGATTCGACCCCCCCCCCCCCCCGGCCCAGGACGACCCCGGACCGAGCGCGCCAAGGAGGGGCAGAGGGCCCCAAAACAGGCCAGGACGGCCCAGGAGAACCGAAAGATCCCCCCAAACGCCCAAAATGGCCCCAAGACGCCCAAAATGACCCCAACACGGTCCTACGGGCCGTCAAATCGCCCCAAGAGGCCTCCAAGAGGCCTCCCAAAAGGGCCCCAAGGGGCGACAATTACTGATTTCCTTTGTTTTTGTTTTTGGGTTGTTGGGGTTCTCGACCTCGCGGCTTTGCGCTGCTCCAAGACCGCCTAAGACGGCCCCAAAACCCCTCCAAGACGGCCCAGGAAACCCCCAGGACGGCCCATGAGGGTCCCCAAACGGCCCATGAGGCTCTCTAGACGGCCCAAGAGGCTCTCAAGACGGGGCCCAGAGAGGCCCAAGACGGGAACCAGGAACTGACAAAGCCAGCCATCCGCCGCAAGACGCGCCCAGGAGGCCTCAAGAGGGCCCAAACAGGCACCAACAGGCCCCCAAGAAGCCCCCAAGACACCGCCCCAAGAGGCCCCCAAAAGGCTTGACAGGGGCCCCAAGAGGCCAGAGCGGCCCCGAAGAGGCCTCAAAACTGCCTACCAGAAGCCCCCGAGGGGCCAACTCTGGAGTGCCAAGAACCCCAGGAGGGCGCCAGGACGGCACCAAGAGGCACCGAGAAACCTCGAGCGATGCCCCAGGATGCCCCAACACAAGACCGCGACTCCTCCACCTCTTCCTCCGTTGACCCCCCTCCGCTTTCCTCCATCCTCCTTACGCTCCTCCACCTCTCCCCCATCCTCCTTGTCGCCCTTGTCCTCCGTTTTCGTTTTTTGTGTCTCCTTTTCATCCGTTTCGTCCTCCCTCTCGACCTCACTCCCGCGGATCCTATATCTAGGGGCCATGGCACAGGCCCCCGTATGAATATGAAACGCCCACAACAACTCCAGACGCCAAAAGGCATCGCTCCAGAAGATTTGAAGGGGTCGGCGGATGTGGCGTAAGCCTAGAGAATCGGAGGCACGTACTGCGGGGTCGTGCCGTGACGATTTCGACTGCTAGAGCAGCGCAAGAAACATCAAGAAACGAGGCTCACCTCCACCCGCGGGCCTGAACGTTGGAATGTGCTGCGAGCGAAACACTATTGGCTCCCAGCTTTCAAACGGCACCTGTAAACCTTGCCCACACAACCCTCAAACATCTCAGCCCAAAGCCAAACACTGCTAATGATGGCAGGGTCGTGCCGTGACGATTTCGGCGTTTGCCTCTGACACCACGCTGAATGATCGGCGGCTTTCCGACCGCCAAAACCAAAGATCCGAGGCTCCGGAAAAATTAAAGCCGCCAATTTCTGATCGTTGTCGGCCTCCTGGGGACATAATCGGGCGCCGGAAAGCAAGAACGACGCGGGAGGAAAAACCGGCCCTAGGGGAGCTGTGCACATGTCCAGGAACCCATGCATCGAAAAAGTCGGAACGCCAGGTGTCTGGGGACGGTTCCATATGGAACGATTCTGGACCACTGTCCGCGATCCACCTGGAACGCCCGCGCCCAGGTCGTCGCCGGGCCGGCACGACGCGAGCCTGCCGTGCACCATGAGACGGCTCGGCGTGCCGAGGGGGCCCCACTGCGGAGCGGTCGGTCGGGGCAGGCTCCCAAGCGCTGGGCGACCGCACGCGAGCCTGGCCTCGGCCCGTCGTCGGGATCTTCTGGCCCGGGTCAATGCAGACCCGGGTCGGCAGGAAGCCAGAAACTGCACTGCAGGGAAAAAAAAACTGCAACGCAGGTCCTCGCAAACCCAGGTCAGCCAATACGCGCGGCCGCCTCGCGGCCACGAGCGGCTCGCTAGCTCGGGTCAGCCAGAAGGGGTCTTCGCAGGATCCTGCAGGATCTGGTGCCCTGGCTGACCCCCGTTTGCACTGACCCCCGTCCCTTGAGCCCCGAAGTCGCGATTCTGAAGCACCGCCGGGGGCTCGGCATATCTTACGCGAGATGGCATACGACCTTACGCGGCGGCTTACGCGGGCCGCCAGCGCGGAACGCTGCACGAAAGCGAGGGCGCTTACAGGCGACCACACGCGGGCAATGCGCAGCAATGTCGGTGAAGACGACCCTGTTTTTCTACGTCGCCCAAGTGAACCCAGCGGGATATCCGACATCCCAGCGTCGATTGGACATGCAGGGGCAGGGCCCGACAGCGGTCGCCGGAGAGCTACTGCCATCGCGATCTACTGTGAGGGACGCCAGCCAAGGAACAGCGGGGCTCCTTCCTGGCCACGGCGAGCGTGGCCACGAGTTCCCAGACCTCGATCCGAGGAACGGCCCGAAAACCGGAGCCCCTCCTGGACCCAAGGTGGTCTTCATCTCAGCATCCCAGACTGCAGTGCCGCGACCCACTCTCCCCGCAGACGCGAGGC